TCAATTTGACTGTATGATCTGGTTGAACTGTAAAGTGCCTTGAGATGACATGTGTTGTGAATTTGGCGCTATATAAATAAACTGAATTGAAAATTGAATTGAATTAAAATGAAAACATTTATCAGTGGAGTCAGAGTAGATGAGCATATGTCCTCAGCAGTGATGGGTCCAGCCCAATGTGCTGGCGCATGTGTCGAGGTCCAAAAGCAAAACCCTGTTGTCAGTGTGCGTATCGTTTCAAGAAGGTCACGTGACTAAAACAGGAGCTGTTTCGAACTGACTGACGCACTAAACTGTGTATATAAATGCATCTGTAAATGCAACACATCTGCCAAAAAAAATCTCTCATCTTTTGCAGTTTATCATCAAATTAATCTAGAAATATGGAGCAGGATCAAGTCAAAGGGTTTCAGCCGAGTGGGACCATTTTGATCTCATACTTGTCTCAATTTTCTTGTTTTGTCATCCTTTTCCTCTCAGTTATCACTCAATTTATAGGAGTTTAAATTGATTTTAAATTGGCATAGTTTGCTGTTCTTACTGTAGTTATTATTTTAAATAAATAAATAAATCCCAGTCCACAAACTAGAATTTATTTATATATAAACTATCCTTATGCAAATGTTTAATTAAGTTTTCCAGTTGTATGTTCACATTTATGGATTATATCCAGAATATCAAACATATTTTCAATTTTAAAAAAAGATATGAAATAATACATTATAGCAAACAATGGCTTAAATGATATTATAGGTCAATAAATCGGTGTCAGTTTAGCCTGTCAATGAGGCTGCCTGTAGTGATTTCAAATGTCCAGCAGATGTCAGTAATCAGTCACAGTATCAATGGTTTGCCAAAGTGTTGAAATGTACATTACTAGTCCTCAGTGATCAATGTATAACTCGCTTCTATTCTCCGAGTTACCTTATAGTTTTTTAGAAGCACATTTCTGTTAAACTTTTGTGTAAAATAAAGTAATATTTTAATCAGATCACAGCCTCTTAAACAAGCCTCAACAGAAACAGCCACATGCTTGCAGCAAACATGGGCAGCATTTATGACTCGGCATGCTAGAGCTTGAACATACCATACTTCACTTGTGAAGAGAAATGTTTCTACTGAACTGTGATATTCAGTTTGAGTAGGAAAGCCCCCTTCCAAAAAAAATAAAATACACAGACATAATAATTTACAAGAAAAAAAGCAGCTCTATTCAAAGAAGAGTTTGCATAAAGCAATGTTTTTTCCTGACAAAACGAGCTCCAAGATCTGGCCAGAGGTGCAACAGTTTTACGAGCTGTACCCCACAACCCCCCATATGAGTATGACCAGTTTTAACAGCCTCCACAGTCAGAATCGCCAGATGAAAATCTGGAGGGCAGGTTTTCATCCTCTTTGTTTAGCTGGTCGTTAGCATCAAGGAAAACACAGTTTCCATCTGTTTACATCAAAGCCATCACTTTTGCTAAAACTAAACCAAGAGGACATACATTTCTGAGGAAGGGGTCTGATCTCCAGAGCAACGGGCCATAATCAGGCTGAGAACTCCTGCTGCTTCCAGAGCATTTTAATCAAACCAAGAAGGAATGACATCAGACTGGTTCAATAAATAAAGCCCTTTGTTTCCCTTTCATCATCTTTAATGAGATGCCTTGTTTCTGAAGCAAACTGTCATTATATGCATCTATGGCCCTAATGTTCAGTATTTTTTTTTCTCATCAATGGCACACCCAATGAGAGCTTTTAAATCAAAGAACCCCCAAATTATACTACCACTCAGTGAACCAACCATAAACAGAAATTAACGGTTTCTGTGTGGAAGTTAAATCTTCCTTTCTTATCAAAAACTCTTCAGAACATAGCAGCTAAACAAGTTTGTGGCCATGTACACCACAATGAACGATTTGAAGAGTGTCAATATGGTTTTTGAGCTGATCATAGCACTGAAACAGCTCTGGTGATAGTCACCAACGATTTTCACATGGCCTCAGATAATGGACTTGTATCTGCACCTGTCTTGTTAAATCTCAGTGCTATTGTACTATTGTAATTCTTTACTGTCAGGAAGGCCACAAACTGTAGATAAAAGCATTCAGCCGATCCAAAATGCTGCAGCCAGAGTTCTGATGAAAATTAAAAAGTAAGATCATATCTCTCCTATCCTAGCTTCTCTCGACTTGCTTCCTTTTAAATTCAGAACAGAAATTAAAAATTGTCCTCATATAAAAACCCCTAAATAACCGAGCCCCATCTTATGTCAGGGATCTGATTGTTCCTTATGTTCCTAAAAGAGAACTTCAATTTGGAAGTGCAAGTTTAGTTGTGGTTGCCAGAATTTCTAATAGTAGAATGGGAGGCAGATCTTTTGGTCATCAGGCTCATCTTATGTGAAAGCAACTACCAGTTTTAATCCATGAGGCAGACAACCTGTCTATTTTTAAGGCAAGGCTTGAAACTTCCCTTTTTGATGAAGCTTATGGTTAACAAAAATTATTAGTCACTGAGTGAAAGGCTATATCCGGTGGGGGAGACAGATGTTTGTTTGTTAACTCCAACCATAACTTTGTTTTTTTTCTGTCCATCCCCATTTTTGTAGCTTTATCTGGTCTGTTCCATTATGGCTATGTCTCCATCCTGGAGAGAAATATCAGCTTTGCTGCTGCAATCAAAACTTTTTTTATTATTTATTTTTTTAATAGTGTGTGTCCATATTGCATATGGACGGACACACACACACACACACACACACACACACACACACACACACACACACACACACACACACACACACACACACACACACCTAGCTAACTTCTCAATTGCTTGTTGGATCGACACAAAAGTTGCTACATATGTAACCAACATGTGTAAACACCTGTTATTTGTAATTTTTCAGCGATTTAAACATTATTTACTCAGACCCAGAATAATTTACTTTCAAATATTCAGTTCCACTTCATCCACCAGTACTTTTATGTCAGTTTAAAACAAGATTGGCAGTTTAGGCAGTGTATAATTCTAGAAATGCCTTATAAAGCATGAGTAGGCCTTCTTTGGAAAATAGACCGATGGGCTTATGTTAAAACAACTGATGCTGTTTTAACTTATTTTCCCATAAAGCACTTTGGTCAGCCCCAGTTGTTTTAAAATGTGTGCTTAAAATAACGTCTGAGTTGAATGAAAACAACAGGGTTAATAGTCAAAAATTGCATTACAATATTAAGTAATAACAGGCAGTTGTGTTCGCAATTTTGTGCTAACCAAACAAAAGATTGATGTTTACTGTTACTAATGGAGACAAAATGGATCACTGATAAGACGCTGAAGCCTGTTTAAAGTCTTAAATCTATTAAAGTCTCTAGTTAAAAAAAAAAAAGGAAACTTTTAGAATACTGTTCCTGGCATCTGGTTTTTAAATAGAAACTGGAAATCAGCCAAGTTCCCATCAGCAAATCAGAGCTTTACAAGAACCAGAGATTAGGGATTGCCCCCTCTTCATACACACAGGCTTAAAGACAAAGCAAGACATTTAACTCAACTAGCTTTTCTTTCTCACAATCATTTATCAGTAGAATTGGACTAAAAACAGAGTGTGCAAACCTCCAGAAGTGCAGCTCAAATCCCTCGCATTTATCCTTGCATTTTAAACAAGCTGCTCCAGCACCAAACTCGTGACCCAGAGTCACCTGTAAAAGAAAGAAAAAAACAACATGAGGAACAGCAATTTCTTTGGATTGCCTTATAGGAGGACACATGTGGGTAGACTACCCAAAAATTGCACTCAAGAGTAGCTCTACTTCAACATTATTTTACTCAAGTGTAAAAAAGTCTTTGGCAAAAAGGTTACTCAAGTACTTAGTAGTTGTTGGACCTTTGATTTAATGTTGACAAATGGTGCAGACAGAAAGACTTTGTGCAAGGTCTGGTATTTTTAAAAAGACTCGAATGCATAAAGAAAATAAGTAAATGTCATGAATATAAAATAAAAAATCCATGCAGAAAAAATACTTTAACCAAATTTTTTTTTCAATGTATAACTTAGGAAACAGGACAGGGTAACAAAGTCCCACTGTTAATATCTAGTGCTTATTGTATGTTCATCTGATCTTGGTATATTTAGAATCACAGAGGACAGCATAGTCTGAGATTATACTCAAGAAGGAGTAGTGATACTTTACAAGTAACTACAATTATTACAGCACAGTAAAACAGCTCCTAAAATTAAAGTATTCTTGAAAAATTGAAGCAGAAAATGAACAGTGCTGCCTACAGGTCAACCGGAACGTTTTTTTTAAAGGTCTGTACTGATACAGATCATATTGACATTAGTCTAACCCAGGGGTATGCTTCCTTTCTAATTACAAAGTGCCATTTTACTCTGAGCTCGCCAAGTGAAAGTTGTTCAGAGCCACAAATATGGCATGGCTTTTAAATAAAACACTCTTTTTATTCATTTTTTTTTAATATCTGCAATAGGAAATCTGTTTCCATTTTAAACAACGGTTCATTTTGTTTTTAGTTTTTGATATTAGGACAAAACACGACAGTTTCATAAAGAATAAGCATTGATTTTGTCTAGAAGATATTATTTTATTTAAAGAATAAACAGATGGGTTCCAAATTAATGACAAGAATTATAGATCTAAAAAAATATTTCTGGTTCTTTAACGTCATTCTTTTTTTCTTTTTAAAAAACTGTTTAAGCCTCTAAGAATGCTATTTGTTAATATACTATATTCAAAACTATTACTTGGCTATTTATAATTATAGCCACTATTAAGAGCCATTGTAGAGAGCCCAAAGAGCCATTGTAAAGCTCCAGAGCCGTATGTTTCAGACCCCTGGTCTAACAAATCCAAGGCATTTGCTGCTTGATTTTTGGGATCAATCTTTAGGTTGATTTAGCCATTTGCGTTCTTCATTCACATGATAAAAATTACACAATAAATATTTTGCTAATCTCAACTTAAACAAAGCATTTATAAAAAACAGCTGGCAAACGGAGGAAGCTCCAATTAATGTTCAACTAGTCACGGATCCCTTTAAATCCTACATCGATAATTTAGTCATCAGTCTAACTGATCCCCGATAAATTCTGTCATAATATGATAAAAAGACACCGATAAATACTTTTTAATCAGAACAAAAAGGACCATTTTATAACAACTCAGTGTAAATATTAACAGATAGCAGATGGAGGGAGCAGAAATGCATGTACTTTGTGTGATCAAAAAGGCATGGCTGTCATGTCCACCTTACTCAATCACCATATATGGTCAACTACTTACGCCCCTGCACTCAAAAGACACGGTTTGACCCCAAAGGAGACTCGCTGGTGAGGAATGCAGACAAAGACTCAACGGATTCTTCCTCATGGGAATTGTGAAACAAATCCCTAGATCCTAAGAGAGACTGAGCATCACTCAAGCTTTCCTAAACTGAAAATGTAACAAAAAAAACTTGGTAGAATCCAAAGAGGGGCAAACTAACAGGTTTAAGCATGTGGTGGTCTAAATATTTATCTAAAGATGGTAAAAGAAAGAGTCTCTGTTAGAAGGGTGTGTACATGAGTGATTCCACAGAAGGGTTAGCTCACCGGGTGATTCACTCCACAAATAATTTACTCCAACCAGGATACTGCAATCATGACCAAGTTTATAACATGGCTGAGTGTTGGTCCATATAATTTAGTGGATGAAGGATTATCTGCAGATGGTTCACCACTTTGCCATACACACTAACATATACAGGAAAATGGGTTAGGTTAAAGAAAAACCACTGCCATCTTCATGAACTTTGTAAGAAAAAAAAGAAAGAATAAAATAAAATGTCAGTATTTGATACAATTGGCACAATACATAGCATATATGTAAAAAATAATAGCTACTCAGGTTAATGGAAAGATCCTCTCGATACAAGAGAAAACAGGTTTTTCAGAAAATGTCTGCTTATCAATTAATTTTTAGTAAATCGAAAGGATCAGTTGAATTCAATTCAGTTTATTTATATAGCGCCAATTAACGACAGATGTCATCTCAAAGAACTTTACAGAGATAATACAGTCCGACTGGTTAGGAAAACCAGTTTATTGCATCCAGTTATTGACTTGCAAGACATGCTCCTCCTGGATTATTTTGCCTTTGGATTTTCAGCAATCCCTCACACAGAGCATGTATAGAGCAACAGTGGAGAGGAAAACTCCCTTTTAACAGGAAGAAACCTCCAGCAGAACCAGGCTCAGTGAGAGCGGTCATCTGCCGAGGCTGACTGGGGTTTCAAGGAGACAGAAGCAGAGATACAAAAAGAAGCTGAGATACAAAAGGCAACTGTTAACCAGCTTCACAGGAGAGCCAGGCAGCGAGCTCCAAGCCAATTCTGCTAATCACAGTAAAACAAACAGGACTACACAGGAAAGAGGTGTTGGAGATTTAATGTCAAACGAAGCAAGTCAGGGTGACCTAAAAATGGACACCATACTAAAGAAAGAAATATCAGCTAGCCTGCTGCCATCAACACCTTAATTAATAGATGACAGAGTTGGTTACATTTTTCAGTGCTTAGTCCTGTTTTCCCTCCTAAACGTAGCTATGGGCTCAGCTTTTACTGTGACCAACTGTATGTGCTCTCTTTCATCACTCTTGGCATGAAGGCTTGGAAAGAAACAGTTGAGCAGAAATGTTCAACTTTTGACGATGTCTGCATGGCAATAAAAACCAGTGAGGGTTTCACTAACTGGCCATAAAACAGAGGAGAGTTTGTTACATTAGCAGTATGAATCGATTTTCAACATGGAGGTAAACATTTTAGCTTTGCCCACTTTCCTCTAACCAACTAATTCATTCAATTTCCGGAAAAGTCTTCTGAAAATCCATCTTTGCCGCCTTGTTTATCACGGACTGCTTTGTAAATGTCAATATCCCTTCTGTTTATAATAAATTTTTTTTTCTTTAGAGACAAACTACCCTTTTTTTTTTTTTTTTTTAAATCACATCCACATGGTCTAAAGTTATATAACTCGAGTTAACAGTTTCTTAGCTTCTAATAGAAACTGCCAAGATGGGCCAAACCTAATTTAAAGATGATAGACAGGGTAAGGTCCCAACATGGTTTTGCCAACGACCACAATGGTGACAGTGTGACAAATTCAAGTCAACTTCAGGAATGCAGTGGAAAATATTTTCTAATATATCAGCTATCTGGTTAATTTAAATCAAATTGATCTTTAAAGATAAAAAAAGAGAGATGCTTCATCTTCTCTTCATCTTTCTTTCTTTCCACTTTGTGACAAAACAGAAGGTTTCCCTCTATCAAATCTGTCTTTGGTCACCAGATCTGCCTTTCTGGATCCCTTCTCTCCCTGTTTGATGCCGTTTCATCTGTTGGGACATATGCCACTCTATTCAACCACATGTTATGTGCTTACTTGATCAAGCTTGTAAGCATTGCATTTGTGTGGGTGTGTATGGGACAGATGAAAGTTGCAAAGCCTATGTTAAAATCATACCCTGTGAGAAACTGAGGAAAAACTAGAAACCCTTGCAACCATCCCTGCTCCCAGCTACTTTTCCAATTGTTGTGCATTTTTACATTTGCAGCGTGTTTGCACCTCTCTGCCACTATATGGTTGGATAACATCAATAGACTATAAATGTGTACATAAAAAAATAAAAATAACATTTCTTCTAACATAAAACATAAAACAAGTCATTGGAGTTTGTTGCGGATCACTATGTTTTCTAACGTCCAAAGGTTTCTATACAAACCTTCCTAATTTGAACTGGTTTTAAGTAACCTAAAATATTCTGATTTACATTCATATGGAAACAAGAAAAGTATTTAAGTAATTGAATGTTTTTAATTCATTTATTTCTTTATATTGTAAACGCGCCATGCGTCACGCAGTTCCTTAAAGTGGAACTGGACCAGGAAGGGAAGTCACCGCTGCACTTATCAACTTAAAAACCTCATTCAAAATTACAAATTGAAAACTAACTTTTCTTAGTTGAAATGGTTGAATTTAAACTTGTTTCGGATCCACATATTGATTCAAAAACGCCTCCCACCATTGACTTCACTATGAGGAGTTTGTTTATGGCCACCTGCTTTGCGCACCTTTTCAGGGCGTTCCCAGCTGCTCCCTACGCCAGAGAAGACCCCACTATCGGGACTACTTACCTTCTTCATTTCCCTCTCTATCTCCATCTTCCAGCCTTTGCGTTGAAGCGGTTCCTCCAGAAATGGTCCGTAGGAAAGAAACAGAAACAAACCAGGACAGAGAGATAAACCCCACTCACTGCCCTCCTGCTCGTTCTGAGCCACACGCGCCTGTTAAAGCGGCCGCAACTATCAACGCTACTTCCTACCAAATATTACAAAATAAATCAACTGTTTCCATTAATTAAAATTTACCTAAATTGTGTTTGAGGTTGTTGAATGTAACGATAAATTCTCTTTCTCCATATATATAATATAGTAAAACATGCAAAACAAAAACTTCCGCACAAATTTGTGTTCATTTTATTACCTTATTTAAAATATATTATTAATAATTACATACAAAAATAGGTGTAAGGTTTGTTTTTTGTTAGAATCGTTTTTTTCTCTATTTTCAATTGTTTTTATTTATCTATTTAGTTTTTTAAAATTATGTATATTATTCAATCCTTAAAGAGTTTAAACATGCGCACCATAGTAACTGTGATTTTTACCATTCCTTTTTTATTTTCTTTACAGCAAAAGGAATTTTTTTGCACTTCCGGTGAAGTTTTTTTTTTACACTTCAAGGTCTCTTTCCCGCAGGGTGGCGTTCACTTTTCTTCCAGCGTTTGTGAGAGGCGCATTATGGCAGGCCATATTGATATTTATTAGCTTGACTGAATGTATATTCCAGATGTCTCAAATGCATTTCTTCCGGTCAAAATAAACATTTCCGATATCTAAAATAACATTCTTCCTATCTAAAATAAACATTCTTTCTATCTAAAATGAATTGTGACTAGGATGAACTCGAATTTCAGATCTCCATAATAGAGTTACTGCTGGTCATAATTACTATTTTGGATGTCAAAAATGAATATAACATTACAGATATCTAGAAATACAATTGGCAGGCCATTTTGACATGTATTAGCTTGACTGAATATGTTTTTAAGATGTCTCAAATGCATTTCTTCCTAGTCAAAATGAGCATTTCAGATATCTAAAATAACATTCTTCCTATGTAAAATATACATTTCAAGTAGCTGAAATGTAATTCTTACTAGTACAAATGACGTCACATTTCCCTTTCATGTGTATTGGGCTTTTACTTCCAGATATCTAAAATAACATTCTTCCTATCTAAAAATAAACATTCTTCCTATCTAAAATGAATTCTGACTAGGATAAATTCTCATTTTAGATCTCCATAATAGAGTTAGGTCTACTGCTAGCCAAAAATGACTAACTTAAAATTTGTAAAGATTTCTAGGTATTTGAAAATTTGTTCTTATGTACAATTATATTTTTTGCAGCCTGAAATGTAATTTTGGCTAGCAAAAATGTATTTTAGGATATCTATATGTACATTTCTGACTAATAGGAATGTAGTTTTGATTAGGAAGAATCTTATTTTAGATATCAACAAACTGAACAATAGAGGACAGCGCTTCTAATAAATGTCAAAACGGCCTGCCATGCTTCCGCTTTACCCCTGGAACAAAGAAAACGGCCCGTTAAATGAGGAGCAGCCAACCACTGAGCTGAAGGGCGCGGTCTCAGCAGGACAAAGGGGTTAGGTGGACTTCTGATGTGTTATAAACTATGCATCTTGATGCTTCAGAGGTTTCCAAATAACAAATAAATTTGTCAACGTTTGTTTAATTGTTTTGCAGAGGTGACAGTAAAAAAAAAAAAAAAAAAAAAATCTGTTCAATGAATTCTTCTTCTTTTTTTGTGCCACAGTAAAGTTTTCCAAGCACTGCACTCCACAGCTGGTGTTTTTGTGATGTGGATGTTTGTGAGTTGATGGTAATAATTCTGGGGAAACAGCTGCTGGGTTGCCTCGGTGACAGGAATCATGGTGGTTAGCAGTTTCCTCTGCTAGAGGAAATGATACCGTCACACCCTGAAAGGTCACACAAAGTTTATCAGTTATGGAAAGCATGTTTAAAGCTGAAATACTTTTCAAAGTATAAAGGAATGTATTGCTGAAGTGGAACGAGGAGGGCAAACAATTTCTTTAATAAGTACAATCAAATTGTCTCCCTTTTTACTCTGCTATCCCTGAATACAGCCCACTGCAACTAATTTACTCCAGAATTGTTCTGTGAAGGTAGTGAAGATTTTAAAAAGAATCATTGGAGACAGGCAGTGGTGGAGTCAGAAAATATTTGTAGTGGTGGTCAGACACAGACATGTTCAGTATTTTTTAGATGTGCAAGATAAAGATTTTTGTCTTTAATGACAAGTAAAGCATAATTTCGTTTTTCGTGGGATTGGTGACATATTTCCACCCAAGGGAGCAAAAATGTTTACCCATTGGCTGTGTTCAAATATATGGGCTGCATCCTCCGAAGGCCAGATTCGAAGGCTGATTATGTCATAGCTTGGCGCAGAGGTGTGGTCGGATTCCAAGATTCCTCGTTATGCGGCCTACAAATCCGTCCTTCTTTTGCTCAATTTTAAGGATCGGTCCGGTGTATCCTATCTATCCTTGGTTATCCCAGGATACATTGCGAGACCAAGTAAGCCAGCTGCTCCGTGCTCAGAGGAAAAAGGCACTTGGCGCCAAATAGTGGTGAATATTGGAAGTTCAGTTTATTATAATACAAGTATGTGAATAGCTCCTTCTGAAAATTTATGGAAAATAGATGTTTTAATGGTTATTGAGTCAGATATGTGGCGGTAATGTTTGATTTATCTAAAAGGTTTTTATCTGTTACTGTGTAAATGGGTTGGCTGTAATTTAAGGACAGATTCTAATATATCTACACTGTGGGGACTATAAATCTGATGATTTTTATTTTCTAATTGCTATTTTGCACAATTGGCTTAACTAAGTATTTTCTGTTATTGAATATAAGAGATTTTGCAGATATATTTTTATTCATACATTGTTAAGATTTACTTATATCTTTCTACCCCTTTCATAGAATAGAATAGAATAGAATAGAATAGAATAGAATAGAATAGAAAATTCCTTTATTGTCCCACAATGGGGAAATTCTGGCATTTATAGCAGCAAAAAGATTATAGAAAAAAGGTATAAAAATAACATAATAGTGAAGAGTTAAAAGATAAACAATAAAATGCTGTACTGTAAAGTCTTTTAACAATAAAAAAAACTGTGCAGCTGGAGAATAAATAACCAGTATACAGCCGAGGACATTTTACAGTTATGGATTTGTAAAAATAGCAGCAACATCTTATTTATTCATGGCCTAACAACATAGAAGATTTTTATGACAGAGTTTAATCACACTCACTGTTTCTTCCTCTGCACCCCTCTGTCTTCTTTTTATGTGTCTATCTTTTTTAATACACATTTTCCTCTCTGCTGACTTACAAGTTGTCTGGCTGTAAAAAAATAACCCACCCCCCAAAAAAGGACATATCCCA